TGCGTGGCCCCGGGCAACCCCAGTGGCTCCTGGAGACATAATTCTGTCCCCCTGAGCCAGTGTGTTCGGGGGCGTGGATCAGTATCTCTCATCTACCAGCCCATGGGTAGATTATGGAATGATCTGGAATGTTCCAGAATGTTCCATGCTGCAGTCCTGCTGGTATCTGGGTTGTATCCTCAGGGCTGGGATCAGATAAAGTGCTTCCTTAGCTCCCAGGATTTCCCCCTGTCTCACTGGTGAGTTTTAGAACGAGCTCCCCCTGAACCCAGGCAGAGCCTCACTGAGTCAGTTCCCCCCCTCCCTGATTCTGGTGGCTCCTGGACCATCATTTCAGTCAACGCAGTATTCAGTAATCTCAGGCTCCCACTTGAGTTCTGTCTTTCTTTGGGGATCTAGGATGTCTTTTTTGTGTTATGTTCTTTTCACACACACACACACACACACACACACATACACACACACACGATCCCATTCCGAATCGCGTGTCCAGTAGTTTCTAGTACATTCTCAGTGCTTTCCAAGCCCTGCTCTAAACCTGTCTCCTTCAAATGGATCAAGCTTACATCCTTGCGAACATTCTGGTGGATTCTGGACACGCTCTCAACAGCTTCCAGCTGCTTGGAGAGTTCTAGAACATGTCCCCAGGGTCCAATGATGAACAGTCATACCTTAGTAGGTTCTAGACCACAGGTTTATTGTCACCAAGTCCTGGTCTGGCCTCCTGTCACCTAGAGAATTCCAGAACATGTTTCCCAGTTTCCAGTCACTGCCCCCTGACAGTGCCCCCATGTTCTTCTGTTGGGTTCCGGGCCACAGTTTTTGGGGGATCAAAACCCTGATTCGAACCCCCTTCTCCCACAGTGGACTCAGCCACATCCTCTCCTCCCATCCCCACTTCACCCCCTTTTCTGTCTCGTGTGTTCTAGGCCACCTTCATGGTGTTCCAAGCTTTGGCCCAATACCAAGTGGACATGCCTGACCACAAGGACTTAAACTTGGAGGTTTCCATCCAGCTGCCCAGCCGCAGCTCCCCAGTCAAGCATCTCATCCTTTGGGAATCCGCGAGCCTGCTGCGGTCGGAAGAGGTGCGGTGTCCCGCCCATGCCCCCCGCCAACCAGGCAGGGCAGAGGAACCCGCCCTCCCGCCCCCCCACAGCGGTCAGAAGGCCTGCTTCTCCACCCTCTGCCTCTTCTCTCTCCACAGACCAAGGAAAACGAGGGATTTACCTTAACGGCCCAAGGGAAGGGCCAAGGCACGCTGTCGGTAAGCCGACAGACTCGCCGCTCCCGGGCCCCTGCCCTCTCTCAGCCTCTCTCCCCTGTCCTGGGCTGTCCCAAGGGCCCTGGCGTCTGACACCCCGACCCCTCTGCTCACCAGGTGGTGACCATGTACTACGCCAAGGTCAAAGACAAAGTCAGCTGCAAGAAGTTTGACCTGAGGGCCAACATCAGACCAGCTCCCGACACAGGTAAGAGGGGACCAAGTCCGTGCCTGCCCTCCTCCTCTGCCTTCCTCCTACCGTCCGTCCGGCACCGCCTCCTTCCTGAGCCAGACCGCGAGGGGCCCTGCTCCCCTAAACCCATCCTCTGTGTCTCCAGTGAAGAAGCCGCAGGATGCGAAGAGCACCATGATCCTTGACATCTGCACCAGGTAGGAAGCCGGGTGTCGGCCACTCGCCTCGGCCGTCGGCCACTCGCCTCGGCCGTCGGCCACTCGCCTCGGCCGTCGGCCACTCGCCTCGGCCGTCGGCCACTCGCCTCGGCCGTCGGCCACTCGCCTCGGCCAGCCCCGTGTCGCCGGCCGGTCTCCTCGTGGCCAGTGCTCCAGGCCTCCAGTGCTTTCTGCGCTTGCTCCGTGCGCATTGACGAGCATCCCCAGCATGCAAGGCAAGGACTTTTGCCACTAGGCTTACCGTGCCGGGCCCAAGAGGGAAAGTATTTTAATTCCGTGTGTTTTCCCTGGTTGGCCACTGCTGGAGAACCCTGTAGCGCGGGCAGGGTTTATCTTCTCTCTGTAGAACAGACAAGGCAGAGTGAGCTCTCTGTACGTCACCCTGGATCGCCATGGCCCTAAGTCTGGATGTGTGTATTAATCAGCTTTTCACCAAGATAGTAGATTCCTGAGAGAGGCTAATGGGAAGGGTAGTATTTATGACAGAGAGAACTGATTCACTGATACATTCCTCAAGTGGCTGTAATAGCCAGAGCTGGACCAGGCTGAAGCCAGGAGACTCCATCCGGGTCTCCCACGTGGGTACGGGGACCCAAGCGTTTGGACCATCGTCTGCTGCCTTCTCAGGAGCATTGGCAGGAAACTGGATCGGAAGCAGAGCAGCTGGGTCTCGGACAGGTGCCCACATAGGATGCTGGTGTCACAGGCAGTGGCTTTTACCCACTGATACCCCAGGAAGAAGGTTCATCCGGACTTACGGTTCTGGAGGTCTGATGTCCAGGGCCAGCCGGGGCCTTTCACCTGACACCTGCTATGGGCAGTGGCTGGCGGAATCAGTGCAACGGAGGCCCTTGTGGCATGCCAGACAGGAGTGTCCCAGAGAGAGAGTAGAGCTCAACACAGCCTTGTCTAGCCCAGCTTCTCCCCAAAAGAGCTACCTTCCCAGAGCACGGCCACCACCGCTCAGGTCCCTCCCTGCGTCCCTTCCCTCACACAGGTACCTGGGCGACGAGGATGCCACCATGTCCATCCTGGACATTTCTATGATGACGGGCTTCGTCCCTGACACAGATGACCTCAACCTGGTAGGAAGGGGCTCGGGAGAAGGGAGGAGGCTGGAGTGTGCAAGGGGGTCCAGGAGGGACTCTGCACCCGCCTCCACTCACCACTCCACCCAGCCTTCCCTTTCTCTCTCTCTCCCAGCTCAGCAACGGCATTGATAGGTACATCTCCAAGTATGAGCTAAGCAAAGCCTTCTCCCACAAAAACACACTCATCATTTATCTGGACAAGGTAAGGCTGGATTTCCCTCCCCAACCCCGGGCTGCCCGGACCCTTGCCTGGCTGGTCCTGCCTGCTGCCCTACCCTAGTGCCAAACCATGGTATCGGGGTCTCACGCAGCCGTGGGAGAAGGGGAGTGGGGCGGGCCGGGGGGAGGTCTCTCGGTGGAGTAGACGTCCGTCTCTCATTCATCTAGCAGGTGAGGAAGGGGCCGAGCGCTCCACACCGTCCTTCAGGGATTGAGCACGCTCCCCTTGGGGGGTTCTGTGACATGAGGGGGGTGGGTCTTGCAGACCCTGCAGCATCAACCCTGTCCAGTAAGAGAGCGTTGTAAGAGGGAGCTAGCCGTATGCGCACAGGCAGCCACCCATGGGTCAGAGCTGGGTTGCCTGGCCACATCAGGCTTGAAGTTGGGTGGGGAAACGGAGCTGATCAACAGTGTCCAACAGCTGAGCCTACAGGAAAGTCGGGCTGCCTCACCTCGGCCCCTCCCTCTCCTGCCGCTGCCACCCCCTCCCCCAGCTTCCTCACCTCTCCTGCTCTTCCCCTCACTGCCAAGCGCCCCCTGGCCCCCCACAGATCTCCCACACTGAGGAGCACTGCCTGTCGTTCAAAGTTCACCAGTTCTTCAACGTGGGGCTGATCCAGCCTGGCTCGGTCAAGGTTTATTCTTACTATAACCTGGGTGAGCCGCCAGGGGGCTGACAGCGCCAGGAGCTGAGAGCTGGGCGGGGAAGGGGGCGGTCACAGGATGTGCGGGACGAGGTGCACAGGGGCCCTGCGGGGATCTGTGAATTGGGGGTGGCCCAAGGGATCCAGGGGCCTAGAGGTCCTAGAGGTCCGTGGGTGGGGGATCTGAAGGCCTCACAGATCCCTAAATCAAGATGCTACACATCCTAAAATCCTGAGTTCTGGGAGTCTTGTGTCCCCAGGCCTCCGACTTGAAGGTCTAAGGGGCCGAGGGGGGGCGTGTCCCAGGGTTGGGGTCCGCATGCCACAAGGATCGGCACTTTAAGCCTGAAGTCCAAGGAGTCCCGGGGGTCTGAGGGCTGGGCTCTGGCATCCCCTTCTCCCTGACCCCCTCCCCATCCCCTGCGCCCACAGAGGAAGCGTGCACTGTATTCTACCACCCAGACAAAGAGGACGGCATGCTGAACAAGCTCTGCCACAAGGACATGTGCCGCTGTGCCGAGGGTGGGCATCCTGGGGCGGGCCGGGGAGGGGTGTGGTGGGCATCCTGGGGCGGGCCGGGGAGGGGTGTGGTGGGCATCCTGGGGCGGGCCGGGGAGGGGTGTGGTGGGCATCCTGGGGCGGGCCGGGGAGGGGTGTGGTGGATGTCCTGGGGCGAGTTAGGGAGGGCTGGACCCCAGGAGAGGGAGGGCCCCAGGGCTGGCCTCACCCACTGTACACCCTGGTGTAGACCCTGGCTCCAACCCTCTTCTGTAGAAAACTGCTTCCTGCAACAACCAGATAACAAAGTCACCGAGAACGAACGGCTGGACAAGGCCTGTGAACCCGGGGTGGACTATGGTGAGTGGTGTGTGTGTGTGTGTGTGTGTGTGTGTGTGTGTGTGTGTGTGTGTGTGTGTATGCCAGCGTGGCTGGGTGTGAGCACTCGTGTTGAGTGGCTTGGATGGCGTGTGTCAGCCTGAGACACGGGGCATGTGGCTGTGATCCATGGGTCACTCGTGGACTGCACGTGACCATGGTCTGTGTGTGCATGGATGTGGTGCGAGGGGCTGCGTGTGTGGTGTGGGGGAGCCACGGCTCGCTGGCCTTGGCAGAGGTGAGTGTGTGAGCAAAGTGCAGATGTGCAGCCATTTGTGTGTGTGTGTGTGCGTGTGTGTGTGCATCTCATTGGGTGTGTGCCTCTGAGGGTGATGGGGTGTGGAACGGTGAGGGGGTGACCAGCTGTGTCTGGGCCCTCGGCCCAGCGCACCTGCTGGCCGGCTTGCCCCGCTCCCACTCACGATCGGCTCCGCCCCCCCCCCATCACTCCTGGGCAGTGTACAAGACCAGGCTGGTCCGGATAGAGAAATCGAATGACTTTGACGAATATTTAATGGTCATTGAGAACACCATCAAGTCAGGTCAGCCTCCTGCCGCCCTCCCGCCCTCCCTCCCCACCCCCACCAGCCGCAGCTCAGGCTCAGCATCACCCCCCTGGCTCCCTGCCCGCTGCCACAGGCTCAGATGAAGTGCAGGCCGGGCAAGAGCGTCGCTTCATCAGCCACATCAAGTGCAGAGAGGCGCTCAAACTCCAGGAAGGAAAGCACTACCTCGTGTGGGGACTCTCCTCCGACCTGTGGGGCGAGAAACCCAAGTGAGTGCCAGCCCCTCACACGGGCACGGCCCTCTCCCTGCCACACCTGCGTGGTCCAGCCCTCTCCCCCCCGGCAAGCCTCCTGACTATCCTCCCCAAGCTTCCATCCCCCTCCCCCTGCCCGGCCACGCCCTTCTGACTTGTCCCCCAACCTCCTCCCCTCTCCGCCCTCGCCCCCAGCATCAGCTACATGATCGGCAAGGACACGTGGCTGGAGCTGTGGCCTGAGAAGGACGAGTGCCAGGACGAAGAGAACCAGAAGCAGTGCCAGGACCTGGCCTCCTTCACCGAGAACATGATCGTCTATGGCTGCCCTAACTGACCCCAATAAAGGCCGGCCTCACCTGAGACAGCTCGCCATTGTCTGGGGGGAGGAAGGACGGAGGGACCTGGGAACGCTCCCACCCAGCCACTGCCTCAACCCGCTCCTGTTCCCACGCCTGCCCGCCCGGCACCCTGCACCGGGTCTCCCACCTGAATTCACACATGGGTCCTTCTGCTCCTCTCCGCCAGCCACCTCCTCCTTGCCAAGCGGCTGCTGCCCCTCACCCCTACAGCCTCATCCACTCCCCAGCCCCCTGCCCCTGTCTCAGGGGCACCTGTTCGCCTGGCTGCCTGTGAGCTTAACCTGTGTCCTGGGAGCATCCTGACGCAGTGTTGTTTCTGTCTTAGCCCTCCTTTGTGTCTGGACCTTGACTTAGATTCTTAGCAGCATCTTCTCCGCACGTATTGCCCTACCCGCTGGCCTGCACCTGCTCCCAGACGCTCCACCTGCTGCTTGTGCCATTCCCACTGACCCCCTTGTCCTCACCCACAGCCTCTTCCACCTCCTCTTTCATCTGCCTTCCCCTGCGTGCCCAGGGCCAGCTCCTCTAGCGGATGCTTTGAGCGGCTGCCAGGCCAGGGTGGGCAAGGGTAGCATTTCCGGATAAAGACATGACTCAACAGGCAGGAGGGTACGTGTGTGTTGGGGGAACGTTGTGGTCACAGGCACCGCAGAGCTGCGTGGGGCAGCAGCAGCCCTGAATAGAGGGAATGGCCAATGGGTGTCGTGAACGGCGGCGGCGGGGGGGGGCAGAGGGCGGCCAGGGTGCCAGCCCCAGGTTAGATCGTCGCGGGAAAACCCACGGACCCGTAGGGAAGCCGCTGGGCCCCTACTCCCAGGTCCTGGAAAGCCCCAGCAACCTGCTCCAGGAATATGGAACCCCCCCTCCCACCCCCACCTCTCCTGTCTCTTTCTCTTTCACTCTGCTTCCAGCCTCAGACGCCAAAGACTATTGTCGCTGTGACACACTGCGTGTCCCCAGCTTCGTAGCTGTCTCTTTTTCTTCTCCCATCTCTCTGGTTTCAGATGCCTTTTGTTTTATTTTTTTAAAGATTTATTTTTATTATTTTTTTCATTGGAAAGGCGGATATACAGAGAGGAGAGACAGAGAGGAAGATCTTCCGTCCGATGATTCACTCCCCAAGTGAGCGCAACGGCCGATGCTATGCCGATCTGAAGCCAGGAGCTGCTTCCGGGTCTCCCACGCGGGTGCAGGGTCCCAAAGCTTTGTGCCGTCCTCGACTGCTTTCCCGGGCCACAGGCAGGGAGCTGGAAGGGAAGCGGGGCTGCCGGGATAGAACCGGTGCCCATATGGGATCCCGGGCGTGCAAGGTGAGGACCTTAATCACTTGCGCCGGGCCCAGATGCCTTTTGTTAAAAAAAAAAAAAAAAGGAACCTTTTATTGGAGAAGCAGAGGAGGAGGAGGAGGAAGGGAGAGACAGAGAGCCCCCACTGGCCGGTTCATTCCTCCAGATGTTCGCGCTGACCTGGACCGCACCAGGGCGAAGCCAGGAACTGTGCGTTCCATCTAGGTCTCATCCCACAAAGACCAGACACTTGAGCCACCGCCCGCTGCCTCCCGGGGTCTCCTGGAGCAAGGAACTGGAGTCCAGAGCTAAACTACACCTGAACATGGTGATACAGGGGCGCAGGCACCTTCACCACGGGGCCTGCTTGTCTCCTAAACACCCGAGGAGGGGCTGATGTGTGGTTTGGGTTCAGTTTTGCCTTGGCCAGCATGGGCAGGCCATGGTTGTGGTGCTGTGGGTCCACCCACCACCTACAACACCGGTATGCCGTATGTCAGAGCGCTAGCTGGAAGTCCCGGCTGCTGCACTGCCCCATCTGGCTCCCTGCTAACGAGTCTGGCCCAGGTAGTTGGACCCCTGCCACCCGTGTGGGAGGCCTGGCTGGAGCTCCCTCCTGACGGCTGCCTTGAGCCGAGACCATTTGGGGAGTGAACAGGTGGATGGAAGCGTTTTTTTCCGTTCTCCATCACTCTGCTTTTCAAATAAAGAACTCCTTGGGGGAAATAAATAAATAAACAAACCAAAACGTCAAAAGGAAACAGGAAAAAAAGATACTTGTAGACCTCCTGGGATTGAACTCTGGCAGGGGAGGTGTTCAGAATAAAAGGGGGTGATAGCGAGAGAAGGCGCCTCCTTGGGACGCTGGCACGGCGGGTCCTGCACACGGGGGTCACGGGAGGACTCGTCTCCGGGGCTGACCCGGCTGGCCGTCGGCCTTTAGCGTTGGGCACGTACAGCCACATGCGATTGACTGTTTTCAGTACGGGTGGGTGGGATGCACCCAGTCGGGGAGGGGCTGAGGGCCAGGCCACAGATTTCCCGCTGCGAGACTGCCACGGTAAGTGGCTGCGGGAGTCCCCAGCCGTGGCCTCCAGACCTCACCATCAGCTGTGACCTGCCTCTCCGGCTCGTGGGACTGGCCCCTGATCTCAGACCTGCCAGCCCCACGACCCTGGGAATCAATTCCTTCAGATTGAGATTCTCTCTCTCTCTCTCTCTCCTCTCTCTCTCTCTCCTCCTCACTGTCCCTCTCTTTCCCTCTCTCTCACTGTCTCTCCAACTCTCTCTTTCTTCTCCCCTTTCTCTCTCTCCTCTCTCACTGTCCCTCTCCCTCTCTCTCTGCCTCTCTCCTTCCATCCCGTCTTCCCACTCTCCCATCTTGGTTAGTTGCTTGGGTATGACCCCGTCCCGTCCCCTGCCGTCTCCAAGCCTCTGTTCTGAATCCAGGCACTTTGTGGGTGCTGGGGCACAGCGGGCTAAACCGCTCTCTGGGGCTCCTGCAGCCCGTATGAACAGGCCAGCTTCAGCCCCAGCTCCTCGGCTTCTCTCCCAGCTTCCCGCGAAAAGATCCCGGGAGGCAGCAGTGGATGACTGATGTGGGAGACCCGGATGGAGCGCTGGGCTCCTGCTTTGGCCTGGTCCAGCCCCAGCTGATAATATCAAGAGCCAGCCAGCGGAAGGAAGGTCTCTTGCTGTCTTTCCCTCACTCCACTTTCTCCCTGCCATTGTGCCTTTCTAGAAGATGAAAGTAAACATTTTTTTTTTAAAAAATACATGCACACAAGCACACACAGACCTTTCACACACAGACCTTTCACACACACACACACACACACACACACACACACACACACACACACACACACAGGTACCCAGATGCATTTGTGCTCAAAAATGCACCTGCACGTGTCTGTGGGCCACACATGCAAACAGCCCTGCCCACACACACTTATGCACGCATGCATGCGAGCCACAGATGCTCGTGTGCGTGGACCCCCACCTGTGTGCACACACTCCCCCATGCACACACGTGCACACAAGTCCTTTATTCCTACCGTGCATGCCGCCGTCCAAGCCCCTCGTGTTCTTGTAGGGTATCCGCCTCTTCTACCGTCTGCCTGAACCCAGTGGAATCGGGGTTCCACACAACCACAGCTTTGACTCCCCCTCATGCACTTGCTGTGACCGCTCCACCCCCCCCACCACCCCCATGAAACCTAGAACAGTCGCCAGCACTTGCAAGAGGCCCACAGGACAGATTTGGCGAGACGGAAGTGGCCGAGCAGGGAAAGCTGGGGCCGCCCCTCTCCGTTCCCCACCTGAGTCACATTTTCACAGACTGGAAAGTGTGAGAGTGAGCCCAGCCGCGCAGGGGGCAGCCGTGGTTGGGGGACAGGAAGAAGAGGAGGGTACAGCGGGAAAGGGGAGGGGCCGAGCCCCAGGTCTAAAGGCGGCCCCCCTGGGGCCCTGCGGGTGGCTTCCACAGCAGGCAAAGCACACGAAGCACGTTGGGCAATTGTGGTTTCCTCCCAGCTCAAAGTACCCAGGCGTGCCAGCCCGGCCCTTGGACGACCCGTGGCGGGCAGGGAAGGTGGCGGGGGTGGGGGAGTCGTCTCATCTATGACAGGCATGGAGGAGATGACAGTACGTCCCTCGGTGTTCGTGGTGGACGGGCAGACGGACATTCCATTCACCAGGCTGGGACGAAGCCGCCGGAGACAGCCGTGCAGCGCGGCCCGCGTGGGCCTGGGGCTGCTGCTCTTACTGCTGGGGAGCGGGCTGGCCGTGCAGGGCTGGTTCCTCCTGCAGCTGCACCAGCGCCTGGGAGAATTGGGCATGCGCTTGCCGGTGAGTGGGGCCCCAAGCAGGGTGGAAGGCTGGTGGGTCACACCCCAAAAGGTCTAGCTTGGCCCTGAGGTTGGGGAGGGCGAGCGGAGTGGAGAGGGAAGTTTGGTTCTACATCCAAGGATCTGGGTTCGAATCCCAGCTCCAACTCATGACTCCAACGTCCTGCCCACACAGCCTGGGTAGCAGCAGGGGACAGTGGCTCAAGTGATTGGGTTCCTGCTGCCCACGTGGGTGACCTGGAGCGAGCTGAGAGTTCCCAGCTTGAGCCGCAACCCAGTGCTGGCTGTTCAGGGCTGAATGAGCAAATGGAATCTGTGTGTGTGTGTGTGTGTGTGTGTGTGTGTATTCTTCTCTGCCTTTCAAATAAGTAAGAGCAGTAGTAAATTCACCTCTCAAAAGCTAAATTATTCATATGTAAAATTGGGGTACAGGGGCCCCCGGCACAGTAGCCTAGTGGTCAAAACCCTCACCTTGCACATACCGGGATCCCATATGGGCGCCGGTTTCGTATCCCAACTGCTCCACTTCCCACCCAGCTCCCTGCCTATGGCCTGGGAAAGCAGTGGAGGACAGCCCAAAGCCTTGGGACCCTGCACCCACGTGGGAGACCCGGAAGAAGCTCCTGTCTCCTGGCTTCGGATCGGCTCAGCTCTGTCCACTGCAGCCACTTGGGGAGGGGACCAGTGGATGGAGGATCTTTCGCTGTCTCTCCTTCTCTCTTTGTAAATGTGACTTTCCAAGAAAAAAGATTAAATGAGGTACAAGCAGCAGCACACTTTCTGGAGAACAAAGTGAGACTTGGGGTGCTTGGTGGTCCCCAGGGAACATGCTCGATTCCCGGAGAGCCAGCTGGATTGGTGAGGTAACCCTGGTTCCTGGGATGTTGTCTGTAATTCTCTCGGGGCTGGTGGAACCCCCCGCCCCAGCTGGGGTGGCTGGGATGGTCTGGGAGTCGGGGCGTCAGATGCCGTGCCCATGTGGTCTTGCCCTTCAGCGTGCTGGGTCCCCACATGTTTCTGTCTGAACCTACTGGCCATGTGGCTGCATGCACATGCCCCCCGGCCGTGCGTGTGTACTTGGCTGTCTGCCATCCGTGCTCAGGGTGTCGTGTACCTGACTCTGTGTGGAACCTGAAGCCATCCACCCCCCCCCCCCGCGTGGTTTTGTGCCTATCATTAAGCCCACACGTGTGCCACTAAGGATGGCAGGCCATGCTGCGGCGTGATGGATAAACGCGTAGCTTGCGACACCAGCATCCCGTATCATTGCTGGTTCATTGCTTGAACATTGCTGGTTCGAGTCCTGGCTGCTCAACTTGCCATCCAGCTCCCTGCTCAGGCACCTGGGAAGGGAGTGGAGAATGGTCCATGTGCTTGGACCCCACGTGGGAGACCCAGAGGGGGCTTCTGGCACCTGACTTCAGCCTAACCCAGCTCTGGATGTTGCAAACATTTGAGGAGTAAACCAGAGGGTGGAAGATCTCTCTATATGCCTTTCATAGATAAACAAAATCCATCATTTTTAAAAATTTAAGAAATTAAGGCTGAAGTCCTATCCCAGTGGTAGGCGTCCATGCCCTGGACTGGTGCTTGCATGCACAGGTTCTGGTCAATTAGATCATAAGCAGACACTTTTCTTAAGAGTTATTTATTTTTCTTGGAAAGTCAGATATACAAAAAGAAATATTCTCCATCCACTGTTTCACTCCCCAAGTGGCTGCAATGGCTGGAGCTGAGCTGATCCGAAGCCAGGAGCCAGGAGCTTTTTCCGGGTCTCCCACGTGGGTGCAGGGCCCCAAGGCTTTGGGCCGTCCTCCACTGCTTTCCCAGGCCACAGGCAGGGAGCTGGATGGGAAGTGGAGCAGCTGGGATATGAACCAGTGCCCATTGCCTATTTGTAACTTCAGCAGTGTCAGAGAGGGACATTGAGGCACTGAGGCAGCTGGATGGGGTGTGTGAGGTGTGTATGTGTGTGGGAGATGTGTGTGGGAGATGTGTTTGAGAGGCGTGTATGTGTGTGTGTGTGCACACATGTGCATATGGTTCTGTGCGTAAGCCCGTGGCCATGGGCCGAATGGCTGACCCTCCTCAGCGGCGGCGGGTCCTCACCACGGTCTCCTTCTGCCCTTTCAGGACCAAGACACGGGCTCCTGGGAGCAGCTCATCCAAGGTGAGTGGGCCCCCGGCTCCCTGGGGAGGGGGTGGGTCTCTGGGTCCCTCCCTCCCGCGTGGCCTACCACCTCCATTGCGCAACATGCTTTAGGCAAGCGGCCCAGCCCCACAGGTGCCCCACCCGCAGGCCCCGAGAAGCAGAACTGCGGGTCACTCCGGAAGGGGAGGTAGCCGACGGGGACTGCCCCCTGCTAACTTCTGGCCCTGTCTCCCCAGAACACAGATCGCACAAGGCCAGCCCAGCGGCACACCTGACAGGTGAGGGGGGGGAGCTGAAGGGAAGGTTAGGTGGGGGAGTGGTCATATGCTTTGATGGGGCAGGACAATTCCTGCCTTCACTCACTCTTGCTTTGCTATGCTGTCCACAAGCCTCCTGTCATAGGGAAAGAAGGTTCCAGAACCCTCCTGTCTGTAGGGAAGAAAGTTCTAGAACCTTCTTGTCTGTAGGGAAGAAAGTTCCAGAACCTTCCTGTCTGTAGGGAAGGAGGTTCCGGAACCTTCCTGTCCATAGAAAAGAAAGTTCCAGAACCCCTAGAGGATACCCAAAACCCTACCAGTACCAAATCCTCCAGGAGCAAATTTGAGTAAGTTTGAAGGAAAAAATGAAATGAAAAGACAAGGTTATTTCAGTGCAAAAATGAAAGCCAAAAATGCATGCAGGGTTTTTTTTTTTCATAATATGCTTTCACTTAGAGGGGTTTTGAAAACTTTTTGGATGTGTGGCTTCCATTTTTTTTTTTAAATGTATTTTTTGGACCAAAAGGAACTTTCCTTTCCATTCCAGAGCAGATTCTTGTAGGCTCTGGTTTTTGTCTTTTGTTTTTCCTATACACACCTACCTGGGGTAGTGTTGGCCTGATGAATTGGGCCCAATAAAAGATAAAAAGTGATAACAGATGATCAAAGGAAAAAAAAAAAACCACTGTCATCACATGCCATCAAAAAAAAGAAAGAAAGAAAGAAAGAAATTCTTACCAGTTACAAATCGCTGCTTTCTAGAACATTCTAGAACATTCTGTTGATTCACAGATCCCCACTGACTGTGGTGGACCCTGACTCCCCAGCATGTGAGGTCACGGATGAGGGGTGGGGACAGGAGCTAGAACATCTCCAACCTTATTCGCAAAAGCTTTCTCAGGACGCCTTTCTCGTGTCACGGCGTGTAAGGTGCCGGGCATGGAGGAGTTGGTTCGATCCTGGATGAGGCTGTTGGCGCTCATTCCACTTCACTGGAAGGGAAGCAGAGGCGCGCACACACACACACACACACACACAGAGTCTCTCTACGGGGGCCCCTCTGCCACTTGCCCGTTTGGGGATCCTTTAACTGAGTTTCTGAATTGCCCCTGGGCAGAACAAGTTCTTTTGGGCAACTCGCCATGGTGATGGGAATTGGTCCTTACTGGCGTAGAGATGGAGGCTCAGAGACGGGGTAGGGGGCGCACAGCAGAAACCAGAGCTGTGCTGACCATGCTAACCACCTGTCTCCTCTCTCTCTCTCTCTCTCTCTCTCTTCTCCCAGGGGCCAACTCCAGCTTGGCAAGCACAGGAGGTCCCCTACTGTGGGAGACGCAGCTGGGGCTGGCGTTCCTCAGAGGTCTCAGCTACCACGACGGGGCCCTGGTGACCACGCAAGCTGGCTATTATTACATCTACTCCAAGGTGCAGCTGGGCGGCGTGGGCTGCCCGCAGGGACTCTCCATGGACCGGCCCGTGACGCACGGACTCTACAAGCGCACGTCTCGCTACCCAGAGGAGCTGGAGCTGCTGGTCAGCCGGCGGTCACCCTGCAGGCGGACAGCCAGCCCCCGCGTGTGGTGGGACAGCAGCTTCCTGGGCGGCGTGGTGCACCTGGAGGCCGGCGAGGAGGTGGTGGTGCGCGTGCTGGAGGAGCAGCTGGTGCACCTGCGGGACGGAACCCGCTCCTACTTTGGTGCCTTCATGGTGTGAGGAGTGCGACTCGCTGAGACCCCAGGGAGGGGCCCAGCCCAGGGACGACAGGCACTTTGGGAAGACGAAAGACACGACAGGTGGTCTATAGTCACAACCCCCCAGCCCCGGCCCCAGAGACTTTGGGGGGTAGGGACCTCTGTGACTCCTTAGGCATGGGGGTCCAGCTAGCTGGTTTTCCTGACATTCAGGAGGAAGGGACACGGGATGGGTATTTATGCATTTTCCCTGGACAAGAATGAGACTGTGTGGGTGGGGTCGAGGGCTCCAGGTGGAGAGCTTACTGCCAGTGTCATGCCCCCCACCAGCACTCAAAGACCTGTATGTAGGGTTCGCCAGTCACTGCAGTGTAGACATTTGTGGTGTCCTGTCCGGGGACCCGGCCACGCAGCAGGTCTTCAGGAACGTGCTTGTGGCTGGATGGATGCAGAGAAAGGCAGTGAGGAAGACTGGTCCGTCACATGGGGTGTCCACATCACTGTCAGAGCGAGCTACACACACACACACACACATACACATACACACACACACGGCTTGGGGTTGGGACCAGACCTCGTTCCAAACTATGTCTCCCCCGGCCGCGGGTCTTTGAAATAAAGATGGTGAGCAATTGTACCCGGCTCTGTCTGGTTCTTTAAAAAAAAAGAAAGAAAGAAAGATTTATTTATTTTTACTGCAAAGACAGATAAACAGAGAGGAGGTGAGACAGAGAGGAAGATCTTCCATCCGATGATTCACTCACCAAGCAGCCACACGGGCGGAGCTGAGCCGATTCAAAGCCAGGAGCCAGGAGCCTCTTCTGGGTCTCCCACAGGGGTGCAGGGTCCCAAGGCTTTGGGCTGTCCTGGACTACCTTCCTAGGCCACAGGCAGGGAGCTGGATGGGAAGTGGAGCAGCCGGGATTAGAATCGGCACCCATATGGGATCCTGAGCATTTTAGCCACTAGGTTACCGCACCAGGCCCCTCTGCCTGGTTTTTGGGGGATGTGGACCACACTGGGTGATGGGCAAGGGTCCACAGCGGCAGAGGCATGGATGGCATGACCCACACCGGCTGATAGACACACAAGGAGCCTGGCTGGCTGCTGACCTAAATTCAGGAGCACAGGATGATGGGTGGGGTGGGGGCAGGAAAGGGAGCCGATCCTGACACTTTGTCCAAATCAGAGGGTGGAAGGAAGTTTCCGTGTAGTGGCTGGAGGGAGGTCTGAGTCCCTGGGACTCTGGGGGTCCCAGCGGTGAGCACGTGGCATCCATGGGGATTGTCGACACTGTGGCTGTCATCACGCAGCAGGGAGGGAGACCAGCGGCTAGCTGAGGTGCTCCTGGCTCCACCCCGACTCCTGCCCTCCAGGACCTGGAGCCAGCCCTAACAGCTGCCGGGGCCTCAGGCTGCTCGTCCAGGGATAGCTGATAGAATGACAACAGTGCTTGCTTGCCCTATGTTCGTTGTAAGACAAGAGCAGAGCAGGCGTGGAAAGCACTTTTTTTAAAGATCGTTTTTATTTGAAAGGTAGACTGAGAGAGATGGAGAAATTGATACATCTTCCACCCACTTGTTCACTCCCCAAGTGGCCACAGCAGCCAGATCTGAGGCACGTAGACCCCAGGGGGCTTCCTCTAGGTCTCCCCTATGTGTGAGTGTAGGGGTCCAGTACTTGGGACCAGCTTCTGCTGCTTTCCCAGAAGCCTTAGCAGGGAGCTGGATGGGCAGTGGGGCAGCCAGGACCTGAACCGGTGACCCTATGGGATGCTGGTGTCATAAGTGGTGGCTTCCCCAGGCTAATGCGCCACGCCGACCCTAGAACTGTCTGTGATAGCACCCGGTAGACAGTAGGCGCTTAAGCAGTGTGTCAGAGAGGACAGCGTGTGTGTGTGTGGGGCGGGGGAGGCTGCCTTGTGTAGACCAGGCACGTCTCTGACAAGGTGGCCGAGGGGCTGACCGCTTCCACCAAGGGTGGCCGCTGAGTCCGGGAAAGTGTGTCCCTTTCTGCCCTGCTCTGGCTGGCAGGTGGGAGGCGAGAGCCATTGCCCCCCGCCCCCAGCCCCAGTGCCCAGCCCCAGCCCCCGCCGGAGTTTCCTCTGTTCTCTCATCATGGTCTTTCTATTTCCGTGGCTTTGATGAGGAGACCTAAGTGTCAGGACAGTGCATTTATACAAGCCACCGACTTCCGCCTGGGGCTGGAGCAGCTTGCTAAGTTTAGTCTCCAAACTTGGGGGGGGGGGACAGGGGGGAGGAGGAGCGCCCCACGCCTTGAAGAGGAGGTGAGAGGAGCGAGCGAGCGGGACAATGGAGAGAGAGAGAGAGGGATGGGATGAGTGGCCCACGGAGCAGATGGGGCGTGATGCCTTGCAGCAGGAGGAGGGGCCCAGAGGAGAGCTGGAACCTCCCTGTGGGCTCAGATAAGGCGTGGCAGCAGGAAGCCCTTGGCGCCCCCAGCGCCCCCGGCGCCCCCAGCGCTGGCCACAGACCTACTTTGCAGCTTCTGAGAATTTTATCTGCACAGTTTCCTCTTTCACCCCCAATGCCACCACCAGCATCTCCCCATTTCACCTCCTAGCCTCCACTCCCACTCGGGCCCGGAAGTCCACTGCCTTGCTCCCTCCCACCACCACCTCCACCCAGAAGTGACACAGAAAGCTGATAAGAACCAAGGAGGGCGTCTCGCTTTCCAGCGGCTGCTTGTTGCGGTTCAATACCCGGGATGCACCTTGCAGGAGAAAAGAAACATGAGGTGGGCCTGTTGAGCTAGCCTAGTGACTAAGACCTTAGTTTGTGTGTGCCAGGATCCCACAGGGGCACTGGTCCTAATCCTGGCTGCTCCACTCGCCATCCAGCTTCCTGCTTGTGGCCTGGGAAAGCAGTCAAGGACGGCCCAAAGCCTTGGGGAGACTACAGCCGCCTACGAGACCCAGAAGAAGCTCCTGGCTTCAGATCAGCTCAGCTCCGGCTGTTGTGGTCACCTGGGGAGTGAATCATCAGACGGAAGATCTTCCTCTCTGTTTCTCCTCCTTTTCCCAGGTCTCCCATGCGGGTGCAGGGTCCCAAGGCTTTGGGCCGTCCTCCACTGCTTTCCCAGGCCACAGGCAGGGAGCTGGATGGGAAGTGGAACAGCTGGGACACGAACCGGTGCCCATATGGGATCCTGCTGCTTGCAAGACAGGAATTTAGCCACTGAGCCATCGCAGGGGGCCACCAGGGCACATTTTGTCCCCTTCATGTCCCAGCAAGGAACCCAATCCTGATCAAGTTCCACTCTTTCCAGCTCTTAGTTTACGCAAAAATCAGTCGCTATGGCCTTGGAGCCAAATTCTGCCCACCCTGCCTCTGCCCGCCAGCTAGGAGTGGCTTGGAAATCATCTTGCGTAGCCCGTGAGAATGTATGCAATGCCAAGGGCAGAAAAGAAAGCTGGGGGGGCGGGGGCGGAGGAAAGGGAGGGAACAAGAAAGGAAGAATGAGAGGGAGGGAGAGAAGCAGGGAGCGGGCGTCCTTCTTTCCCCTAAAGACGCAGGGAAAAAATTATTCTGAGTTTTTGAAGCGAGATTTGCTAACCTGACACAGGCTATTTTTGATGATGCTTACATAGTTGATGAGGGTGGGAAGGGTTGAGGTTTGGGGGAAAGTGGGTGAGACCACTGTTTCCAAATTTTCCTTTTCTTCTTCCTGTTTCTGGAGGAAGAGGAGAGAAGGCGAGAGAAGTCACACCCAGCCCCGCAACCGCCTCAGCACCCAGGGGTGTCACCCTCAGATGTCATCCCAGGGTCCCCAGGATGCTCCGAGGGTTCTACTCAAGCGGATTCTATAGTTCTGAAATGCTGTCAGACTCGCCGAACCAGAGATGTGGAAATCCTTCCAAGGCCCACTGGCTGACTCAGTCCACCTTCAAGTCTCCGTTCACCCAGAAATTCGCTCTCAAGCTTGGTCCAATTTGTTCTGCCTTCCTTCCTCTCTTATGCTGCCAGGTGTCCCCTGCAGGCTACAGTGGCCTGCCATATCCTCCATGGACATCTGGGTATGCAATGGATTGCCCCCTCTAAGCCACTGCTGAGCCAATCTGAAGCCAGGAGCCAGGAGCCGGGAGCCTCTTCCGGGTCTCCCACACAGGTGCAGGGTCTCAAGGCTTTGGGCCGTCCTCCACTGCTTTCCCAGGTTACAGGCAGGGAACTGGATGGGAAGTGGAGCAGCTGGGACTCGAACCAGTGCCCATACGGGATCCCAGCAGGTGCCAGGATTTAGCCACTGAGCCCCACTTCCACCTGTGCTGCCTAGTCTGCTCGCTCTACGTCCACTGTCGCCCCCTACAGGCCCTTCACCATGACAACAGCCTGAGTGAGGGGCTGGTTGGTTTCTGTTGGAGGGTTACACCCGGCAGGTGCACCAAACGAGTGAACACTCACCAGCAGCTCTCACTCACATCCCCAGCGTCCAGGAATCCCCCTCATGTCTACCTCTCGGGCATGCCTCTCTCCCTTGCTCCTAGGGAAACTCTACTCAGCATTCCAACGCAATGAGCTGGCTTGGGATACCATTTCCATCCTCTGTAACAACTTCCTCCCTTCAACATTCTGTTCAAGAGACCCACGCGTGGTGAAATTCAAGGAAGACTTATGCTATACTTTCTCTTCCAAAAGATGGGTTTTAGGTGAAAGGCAGAGTGTCAAGAGGATAAACAGAGAGAGATGGCCACCATGGCCAGCCAGAGCTGAGCTGATCTAAAGCCAAGAGCTTCCTCCAGGTCTCCCACACGCGGGTGCAGGGTCTCAAGGCTTTGGGCCGTCCTCCACTGCTTTCCCAGGTCACAGGCAGGGAGCTGGATGGGAAGTGGAGCAGCCGGGACAAGAACTTCTCAAGCGATGTCTGCCCAGGTGGTGCCTCCGCGCTGCCCCCTGCCGCCCGTCTTCCAAGTCAGCCAGCCCTCTCTAAGGAGGGGCCGTCCCACTGTGGTTTCCATTCACATTTCCCTGATGATTAATGATGCTGTTTGTCTATTGGTTATTCAATTGTATCTTCTGAGAACTGGCGAGAAGGGCCTTGGGCTATTTTTAAATCGGGTGATTTCGGGTTTTCTTTACTGAGCGCCTTCTGGCTTATTTGCTTTGCAAAATCTCCCTGCCATTCTGCAAGCTACCCTTGGGTCTGGGGGCAGGTGGAAGAGGACTATTTTCCTTTGTGATATATCTACTTAGCAGGTGGTAATCCCATCTCTCTCTCTCTCTCTCTCTCTCTCTCTCCCCCCCCCCCCCATCTCTCTTCACTCTTGTCATATACTTTTGCTTTAAAATCCTGAAACTCCCTGCAGGCAATTTTCTGCGGTGTTTTTTCTCCTGGATAGTTCCATGATATCTGGTCTCTTC